GCTTGTTTTACAACGTCGTTGCCAAGCGACGAAAACCCAACCCCGATGGCAAACACCGGCCGGCGGGGGAGGGGGGATGACCTGATGGGCGTATTCCAAGAGGACACCGGCGGGGATTGTTTTGGCAGTCCGTGTACGACGACACTGTTAGATACCACGAAGGTGCTCGTGAGCTGCAAAGGGGCGGGCCGGGGAGGGAAGGGCGGCGGGGCGGGGGGTGGGAGGGAGCAGGGTACGCAATATATTGCTCGGTTGTGAGTGCGGGGCGAGTGGGTACACGGAGCCGCAGCTGGAAAAGTCGCTGACTGATCGATATCGGCGGAGCGAATGAAGCAACGCCCACCGGCGTTGGGACAAGAGGTGTGTCCCGTTGCCGGTTGACACCTCCTTTTTGAACCCATTCCCGTCCGCGTTTCATGATTCAGGCAAAATCATGCCATCACGGCCTACTAAACTCAACGTTCCCCCTCAAAAACGTTCGGCACTCAAAAAAAAAGTACGCCCCCCCCCCCCTCCCTCACACGCGGAGTACAACCCATGGGAAAACATTGCAAAGCAACGCCGGGATTTGACACGTTTTCCTTCACCAACGATACCCCTACGGTTTTGGGACTATTTCCGCACGAAACCATCGTGCAAGGGGGAAAGGTTGAGTGTTGATTTACTTGAATCCATGCGTCAAACTCTACTCCCAAGATGTTCCCCCCACTCTTGATGGGTCTCAGAGTGCACCACGCTCGCTTCTGTTAGCTCTTGAGTGAGTTGTGAATCACCGAACACTCGTTCCCCAGGAGAATGAACGTGGTTTGTAGAACTTTGGAACTTTTTTCTACTGGTCGCAAGAAGCTTGTCCGCCGAACGTGCCGCATGAGCCAATGGTAGCGGGCTGGGTACGAGACCAACGGCACAGGACCGTAAAAGTGCGCGTTATGGCACCCGGGTGCGATCGGTCGTACTTTAAAACATTCCCTTTGTTCTCCCACCCCGGTGCCATCACATCGACGGAGACAATGACACCGATACTGGTGCGGTCCACTGTAGATTTGTTCTAGATTTCCAACGCACCGTGCGATGACACCGATGGGTGCGATACGGAAGAAAATCAGGGGTCATTATATGGTACTTGTGAGGCACTTCTACGAGCACACCTCGGCAGAACGATCTACATGAAAGGAATGGCGCCTTAATTGATACCTGCCACCAACACCCGTGCGTTGAATCCAGTTCAAACCGTGGCCTGGACGGTACCTGAACCTTGCAGAGGCACGTAAATTTACGTCCCAAGCAGATTTTATATCGTTGATATCCCACCGGGTGCGTTGACACTGATCGATACCGGTTGAGAAATGCAGTTGAATCGTGCCGCTCTAGCTTTTTCGCTCAACCCGGTGTCACAACACCGAATGGGTGCGAAATCAACGATGAGTGCCCCATGGCACGCACTCTTATACTTTTATGGTATAGTCTACATGCGTAGGTGCCGGAGTAGCTCTTGACCTCGGGAACTCATTCGACTCGTTCAAAATTGGCAAGTTTCAGGCAGCAGTGAGCCAGGGCTCGAGTCGTCGGTCATGAACGCCTCAGTTTTGTGGCCGAGCAATCGGCTCTTACTTGCAATCCCCATACCACAGAGAGGGGTGGATTCAACTACATGTACGCGAGGAGAATCTCTTGAGAAAAAAAAACGTTGCAGCAGCAAAGTCTACAGTAGACCGTGATTCGCGAGAGCGGGGGGTTGTTGTGGCCCTTCACAAGATACTGCTGTTGCAGTCAAATGTTTTAACCTTGAGAGGAGGTGGCGAACTTGCAGTCTCATTTAATCATTGCCTCCACCTGAAGATCGACTTGATCTTGCCGGCGCTTAGTCTCTGCTGTCGTCCTCACATCTACCTGGGGATATCCCAATGAGAGTTCACAGCGGGCGACTCAAGCACACGAGGACGATGATGTTGTGCTCTTCGCACACGCGCATGAATGGAAAATCAAGAAGAGAGGCACGTTTGTACTTCAGTACGTGCTGGTCTCTTGCCTCGGGAAGAGTGCAGCTACTGCACTTGGTGCCTTGTTAACGCGTCATAACGTGGATAAGTAAATCGCACATTTTTAGAAAGTAAGCATAATAACCTCACAGAAAGACCACCCGTTCGAGATATAACCTCAGTCGAAAGGAACGTGGGTAAGTCTTTTCAGGAAGTGGATTGAAACCGACCGGAGACTGGCCATATTTTGAGTTTGTGTAAGCCTTACACTGAGTTATCAGTGATGCCAGTTGGTTTTGTTTCACACCCGACTGCTGTCGCAAGTAAGCGTGTCTTGGCTTCATCTATCGCCGAGGCGTGGGTGAAAAAACAATGACGGCGGTGTCGCGCCTGAAGAAGCCAAAACAAACAACGGGCGGAGCGCCCACGTGTTCCTTCTCTCACAGTTGGACAACGCGCAGAACACGACACCGAGTTCAAGTGCAGCATAATAGTACCGCATAGGAGCACCTTGCAAATAAACAAGAAACATGTGTAGTACATACGCAATAGCTTGTTGTGTACGCCCCCCACCTTCGAACGGCGTACTCTACCCCGTTGGGTGATCACGTACGCACGTGATAGGATACACCCATTACCATCCTATTGACACGACAATCCCAGCACACACGACAAAACGTTTTAAGAGCTAGCTCCCCCAACCGTATTTCCTCGACCGTGGTGGGGGGGAGGAGGCACATGAACACGTTGCACCCACATCAATCGAACGCTTTTTCGGATCAGCAAATCCCAAGTCCTGATCAGCAAATCACAAGCCCGCATGTTGTTAACGCAACAAACACCCACCCTGACACAAATGAACGCGGCAGCCCACACCCCTATGAAACCCGACCCACCTTTACAACAGCCCGAGCGCGAAATACATACCCCACGCTAGCGGCCACGCCCACACGCCCGCTCGAACACAACACCAACGCTATTGTAGCATCCACACAGAAACGACCCGCAAGCAGGCAAAATTTCAAAATTGTGACTTCGTCCGTGTGAGTGAGTGCGCACGGATGACCCGTCTGTACAAGGACCGTTCCGAGCACTTGGGTTAGTCTTGGTTGTAAACGCTATTTCTGGTAAAAAATATGCCGCACTCAAGTGACACGCGCGAAGCGCCTACAAAATTTTGATCCCTTATGGGGCTGATATCACAATNCCCCCCCCCCCCCCACCACGGTAAATGAAACAGACAGCATTGCCTGCGAACACAAGGTCGTGGACCATTTCCTGGATAGATACAAAGCTCACCAGAAAATATATCAAAACCTCGAGAGTGGCAAGTCGAAGACGGCGGCCAAACACAGCGACGCACCCAACCTCATCTTGTTCGGTTCGTCTTTCGCCCTCGCAAGAGGACCCAAACAAGGGTGTCAAATGTAGTTGATTCCTTTCTCGCTGCCGTCGTCAGAAGTCGCCTTGAAGAAACGACCACGCCCCTCTCCCCCGGTAGTAGACCCAATGAGATCACCATCGAAAGAAAAAGCATCACGTTGTTTCTTTAAGCAAACACGAGGCACGCTACTCCTTTCGCTGATGCTGTGGGCAACTCCTAATTCTTTGGACAGAGGAATGTACTGACACCTGCCGCTCACGTACAGCGGCCAGTGGGCTAAAAGTAAACCATAAGCCCATCCAATTACAACTCCCTCCCAGATGTGTCCAATTCGCTACCACCCCGCCCGCCACGTCGATTTTCACAAGTCCGCGACATGGACCCCCCCCCCGCCCCTCCCAGGAACACAGGCTGAATGTGAAAGGTCGCTTGTGCATGCTTGTTTGTGACACACACGAGCTCCACGATACGTCGGGCCAACGGCCACGGCAAACAACTAGCGACACGGACAGCCCAGCTCAGCATCAGCGCATCTACCGCCCACGCGCTATTTCTCTGGCGACGCATCTGCGGACAACGACAGCGAAAACATGGAACGGGTGGGGGTGTCATTGGTCACCCGATGCCAAACATGGAGCAAAAGTGACCGGATCAAGTAGCGCTAGGCACGAAACAAACACAATCATTTTCCTGGTGTCTAGCAAGTTTCGCATGACATAGCCTGTAAAAACAGAGTAGCACGCTCTCAAGAATGACGACTACGCATGCCATTCTCAAAGTATAGACCACTTGCAACAGGACCCGCCGCCCAAAAAAAGTTGCTGTGGGCAGATGGGGGAATCTGTGGGGGATATTTTCAAAAAATCAAAACCTTTTGCCCCGGGATCGGATTTTCACAAATAAACTGCGTTGGATAGCTGACGAGCTGAAGTTTTTTAGCGATTTTTGTTTTATTTTTTGAAAAACGGGGGAACGAATATGTTGGGATTTTGTTCAATAGGCGGTTCGAGAAAATGTGTACTCCGGGGGAAAGGGTTGATTTAAAATATCTTCATGCCCTGTCTTCCAAAATAAATAAACAAAAATCGCAGAAAAAACTTGAGCTTATCAGCTATCCAACGTGATTTGTTTTGTAGAAATCCTATCCCGGGGCAAAAAGTTATGATACTTGAAAATCTCTCACAGGACCCCCCCTCCGCCCAGAGCATTTTTTTGGTGCGGCGGGTCCTGTTGAAAGTGGTCTATTTTCCCCGCGGCACGAAGCGACAACAATAAGGTCCCTAAAAAACGGCTCCATGTTTGGGTATACATGCTACACCATCTAGTTTTGCAGGCAAGGGGTGGGAGGGTGCATTGTTCTTGGCTTTGGTGCCGCAAGCGTGCACGTTTAAATGGAAACAGCGTGGGATTTTTTCGGAGGTCGTCACACTACCCACCCATGTATACCACGAAAAATGGGCTTATACTTGCCTGTTCGGGCCGGACTGCTCAAAAGTATCGGTTTGTCACGCTGCGGTGCCGGTCGGTCCGCGAGGTGGCATGTTTACTCCCTGCGCAAACTACTTTATGGTCACACATACAAAGTTCGCGAGATACGGCCGACGCATCTTTCCATATCTCTTACCGCTCTTCTTGGTGCCCAAGACCGACTGCACGAGGCCCACCGGGTAGGCGACGGCGGCGTCGATGAGGGACCACGCTTTCGTCGTAGCCCAGTTCACGTTCGAGCCAATGCTCTCGGTGGTGCTGCCCACGAACGACTACATTCGCCGATAGAGAATGATGGACAGATGGGACACCAGAGTGGCAACGTCGGGGCGGGGGGGGGGGGGGTTCAACGGTTCACCCAG